TCCCTTTGGTAGTTTAGTACAGTATTGAATACATTCCCATTCGGAACCGTTCATGTGGTGTTTGTAGAGACCCATGGCAAAGAGGCGCGTATTTCTGGATTCAGTAGGTACAGAGTTTAGGGGTTCAAGTTCACGATGAGTATGCAGCGCTTCAACTTTGGTAACACATGGGGCAGGGTGTTCATTCTGTTGTTCTTGTTTTTGGCGGTGTATATAAAGATCCTTGCAACAAAATGCAAGAGTACATTCCCGGTGTCCATCTGGCGAGACAGATGATCTAAATCGCATGATGATCATGAAGCAGACCTGCAACATACTCTCAGGGCGGAAGTTGTAGCATGCAGATGGCATACAACCAGCCACGTATCTTTGTGAGCAAGGCAACTAGTCACTCAGGTCAGTAGCGAGGATTTTGTGCCGTAGGGACATATAGCCTTGCAAGGGGACTTAAGTACGGTTTCCCTACTTCTTGTGTGGCATTGCGTCTCGCAACACTGCATGTAGGGAGATAGGAGGTTTGCTCTATGGCCTTTGACGAAGACCCCATAGTCCCCGGTAATTCCTGTGTATTTCTTGGATCCCAAGGGACGGGGCGACGTATTCAGTGCGTATGTATGTATGTCTGCATGTATGTAGATATACACGAATGGACGGATGCACGGATGGATGGAAGACGGTGGCGGTCCCCTTGAAGGGTTATCCGGTGATCATGTTGCTGAAACACGTCCTGAAAGCTGAACCTACCACCCTAAACCTCTCATCTTGAGAGAGAAGTTTCCAGATGAGGTTGGAAGCCGACAGTTGAGCAGCTGAAAGCCATGACGGCCGCTTTGCACTATTCTCATTACTATTAATGTTATCATCAACACGAGAATATACGAGAATTATCAGTAGTATGATTCTTAATGATTCTTAGTAGTACCTATTATTGCACTTAGCTTTTCGTCAGGCAGACTTTGAAGTGGGGAATGAAAGGTCAGGGTTTTCAGGGTTCAGTGCCTAGACATGTCCAGGCTTGAGGTTCAGGACTTAGGGCCCAACTCTGGGAAGACTTTTTGCAGGCGATTGATTTTTTTACACCCATCACGCTGGCCCCATTTACCAATATTCAGATTCAAGCTCTTGCTTTTCAAAGTGGCAAACGCTGCTCAGCCCGATCTCAAACCCAAGCCCTGATTGCAAACATGTAGAGCGTCAAAGGCTTGAAAAGCCTCAACAGCAGATTGCTCCAACAAGCAAGCAACCCCCTAAACCCTAAACCATTCTAGAAGTTCATGCCAGGATGAGATGGCTTCCCTGTGCAGTTGTTACAGGGGTTTTTCGGGGTTTCCAGAAATCACGGGCCTTTTTCTGGGGCCCCCACAAAAGAGGGATTCAAGTGTTTTCTGGTACATAGTACGGGACCATGTATTCGGACAAAAACTGGTGGTTCAATGTCACCTTGAGCCCATGTTTTGTGCTCACTCTTATCAGGTGGCAGCCGTTCATGATGGGAAGCTGCATGCACACGTACATCATGCCTACTCCCAAACTGCCAAGGAATCTGAAATTAGATATCCTCAGGTTGTGTGGGATCTTACAGATTACATAGGGGTTGTTCTGGGTTTGCAGGGGATACACTTAAACCCCCCCTTTTTTGGAGCCCGGTTCACTTCCTGAAGATCGCGCACGAGCTCATGATGATGGCCGTATACGGTGGGCTTAGGTTGGGTACAGCCCGTACTCATTAACAGTTGATAATACTAAGAATATACTTATATATAGCCCTTGAT